CTATAATAAACCTCGTTTGAAATAACTATTTAAGTTTTCACCATAGTAAACCTACTTTAATCCGTCCAGACCTGCAGACTTGCCAATTGCTTCGAACAAATCTTTCTTGCTGATAAAATGGTCTTCACTATAATAAACCTGCATCGCCCCCTTATTATTAGACAAACTGCTCCAGCATTTGATCTCCTTTTAGCAGGATATTGAAATATTGTGTTCATCTGTCTACTATATATTCGTTTAGTCATATTATGTATACTGATCCTTGTATTCTTTTTCAAGATTTTGGCACTTCTTTTCTCGTGCGCTTAATGTATTTTTCCAATGTTTGGGTTCGATTTTGAGTTTTTCATCATTTTGAGACCAAATACTAACAATCAATTTCGGTTACGTAGAAGAACTTATAGCTTCGCCCTTTCCATCTTTCTTTGTGCAGAAAGAATAATGCATTCAATATGAAAATTTCCTATTTTGTTATGATATGTTCCAACTTCCGAACAAAATAAAGAACATAAAAGTTAATTTTTTTTTAGTGATATGGGTTTTACTAAACAACACGGTAGCTATTCATTATATATAGTTCAGATTAGGTATATATTATTTTAGTTTATAAAACAGGTATTAGTATGACTTATTTCCGGGGAAGTACATACAATTTAAATTACCTCTAAGAATCATTAAATATATAAAACAAAGTGTTGAATCGCAAATGTTAAATAAAAAATTCAAGATATTTAGCAAAGTATTTTTGAATTAAATTTTATTATTATAATTATATCATTATTAAAATAGAAGCATTCTTAAACGACCTCCGTATAGAATAAAGGAAATTAAATTTTAAAAAATTAAAAGAAATAAAATAATAAATTAAAAAAAAATTGTTTAATTTTTCTGGACGATTAAATTATTGCATTAATATTTGGTTAAGCCAATCAATATAATGCACCAAAAACGCGCCCAACGGGGAGGGCCGTGCACGTTAGGGGGGTCTTGCCCACAGACTATTAAGCTTGAGGGCGGGGTGGCCGAATGAGCTAATGAGTGTGCACAGCACCACGAGTAGGCCGGTAACCCGATAACCGAAATAATGAGAGGAGGGGATTTGAAATTCTCGGCCTCCACCTCCCTCCCTGTCCCTATTCTCGGGCCGGGAAAACCCCGTATAGCCTAAAAGACGAGGTAGGGAAGAACAAAAAAAAAAAAATATATATATATATATATATATATATATATATATATATATATATATATATGAGATGAACCTTTATCTCATCAAAACCTACAAATATTTTATTGATAAACATTCTTGGAATTGCGGCGTTTTCAATCTTGATGTCGACAAACTTTGTCTATTTCATTAGGTACTAAAAACTCGTAAATACCCATTTGCTTTCCACTTGGACCGTACGGTAATTTGAGCACAAAACCGAGAAAAAAAGGTGGCCTTCAAAAAAAATAAGCCGTTTGGCGTGACCTACAACCCCCAAAATAACGAGGTTGTATAGGAAAAACGGCCTAATATTTTTGTACTGAGTTTAGGATCTTAAATGTTATTTTATGGTTTGATTCAAAATGATATAAATGAATATATGAATCTCGAATCTTCTTTTTATATTCAATTAATTATATTGAATCATAGATTAAGATCTTAAGCCCCTCTACCTTTAACCCTATTTGTTACCATGTTACCATAATCCTTCTAGTTGGAAATCAGACATTGCATCAGGCTTATTGTATCATGGAGATGGGTAATTAGTCGACTGATCGATTATTAGGATGAACAATTGAGGTTTTGTCTCGACTCTCAAAATATAGCACTGAGGATGATCCACATGTTTGGGTCGAAACGTTGGCAAACCTAATAAAAATTCTTGACTGTAAATCCTTGAATTTATATAACTTCATATTCCTTTTCTCATTTTTACATTTTATTCAATGATTAGCTCACTTCCTTTTTTAGCACACTGAGACATCTTATTTCAGTAACTGCGTCAACCCATTTATTTTATGTCCACACTTATGTATTTTATCACATGTATTCCATTTAATTTTTTTGTTAATTCCTTTTTCACATAAAATATAATGTGTAGACATTAAATAAATGGAGTGACGCAGTAGCTAAAACATGATGTCTAAAACATGAAGGAACTGAGACCTTCATAGAATAAAATCTAAAATAGAGAAAAGGAATATGAAGTTATATAAAGAAAATAACTGATGTAAATAGAAGAATTAAGACACAGTAAAATCTGTCAATACATAGTCAGTATATTTATCTCATTTCCTTTTTTGCTTACTTTGACATTATAGTTTGGCAACTACGTCACTCCATTTATTTTATGTCTAAATTTACGTTTTTCATCTTATATATTCCATTACATTTTATAGCTAATTCATTCTTCATTTCTTATGTTACCTTATTTTAGTAGTCACTAACTTTATTGCCGGTATTATTTATTTCATAGTTTTCTGTTACTGTTTTTATTTTATCCATAATTTTCTAACTTTGTTACCGTTATATTATATATCCTAACTTTGCTCCCGCTACTTTCTATCCCTAACATTGTTATCATTATTTTATATTTTCTCTAAGTTTATTTTACTTACTCTACCTACTTTATTTTATTTCACGTTTATTCTACCTACATATTATTACTATTTTTTTTAATGTTAATAGTTTCTCATACCCATTGTTATCTGTTTTTTCTTAGCTCTGATAAAGGTCTGAACTTCAGTGTGAAACTTCGGCAAAAATAAAAGTAAACATAATTTATTTTTTTTTTTACATTTTTTTTAACTGAACACCCAAACCAATATTCTCTTCTAAAATATATTGGTGTAATTTTATTTTAGATGGTTGAAGAGTGACACATAGATTCCTCGAAACGTACCAATAAATAATTATCAAAAGTTAATTATAATTTTTATTATACTGATCTTTCAGGCATACACGTAAGTTATTTCTTATGGTTACAGATTTAAAAAAAAAAACAAAAAAAAAACGAATATATCAACACAAATACAGCATCTCCACACGAAACCCGTTCGCCTGGAAACTTGCCGAACACGCCATAACCCTCAACCACACATTTGATTCTGAAAACCCAATCATACTTGCCACAGTTCCCAATCAACAAAAACGACTACTTTCTGAAGTTATATTCATTGATTTGGAAAAAAATAATCCGGTAAAACACAAAGTAGACAAAGAAAAGTTCTGCAACACATCCATTACAATTATCTTTATTATGCGTGCGTGTGGTTGTGTGTGTACCGTGAAATACTTTATATAATATATAATATTTATATATAATTTATAAAAAAATATTTTATTTTGTTAGCTTTTGACTACAATTTCTGACCTTTCAGGCTATGATGTGGAATAGGTCAAGTGAGAAAGTAATAATTAAGTTTATTGTAGGGGAATGAATAACCCTAAGGGAATGTGTTGTTCTTCATCATACTATGTATAATCAATTATCAACACTAATAACTATACAGTACACTTTAGTAATGTTTCATAATAATATAATTGATGGAGTCTTTAATTTAAAGGAACTGAAGATAGTACTAGTAAGATCATTCATCATTCAATATTCATCGGAAAATTACTGTAATGTAAAAAATATTTTTTGATATGTTAAACAGCGATAGTAATAGGTAACATGTCATATCGTGGACTTGGTTTGAAAAGGTTCTAACTAACAACTTTGGAAAAATTTACCAACCATTCATAAATTACTCACAACAATGTTATCTATGGTCCTAATGAATTGTATTGCCATCAGTTGAAAAATAAAGAAACTAGCAGTGTGACATGAAGGTAAAAAATATATTTAGTGTAAACAAAGAAATTTGACACTGTTTATGTCAGGAAGTATATTTCATTAGGTGATTAAAACATGTTTTTGAAACTTTTACTCTGTTGTTGTTTCGACAAAAAAAATAACAACATATTTCTGTATTTCTTTTCTTTAATTATAACCACATGAACAATGATCTAAATGTAGAGAATTGCTTCTATAATAAACAACTTTTATTCCATTGAACTAAAAAAGGATAGAATAATGTACTAAATCAATTTTATTAAAATAACAGAGTATGAAATATTTGTAATTTTGGCTTTTCGATTCTGCATACTCTTTATGAAATAAAACTCTCAAGTTTTAGAGTAGTTTGTATTCTCTTTATTAACCTATATAAGGAAATTAAAAAACAAAGCGTGGTGGAAGTTCAGATGGTGTCAGAGTTCTGAGTCCGAACCCAAGTTTTCTTAACTTGCACAATGAGAAGTGCTAAGGAAATAAAATTAATTTCAGATAGATAATCTAATTTGTATCCTAAGCGAAACAAGATTTATTTAATATTAAAATAATAAGGTATTCTATATTTTGAAATCCATTTTCCCGAAGCGGAAACATCAAAGAATCCCACTAGCACCCTATATTTTACTCCAGATATTTTTTCTTTTGTCTTAGCATTTTTTTTGACAAGAATTGTTAACCGTTATTTGAATTCCAGACAAAACAGTGGAATCTCTATCTTCAAATACAATCTTATTTTTATAAGCAGCCTCACATTCATTGAAAAGTTGTGGAAAAATGGGACGTCACTTTTTCTCTTTGCAATTTATTATAAAATTAATTAGGAATCGCATGCGTAATATGGGATTTTGAAATTTATTGAGCCTTTATTTTGATACATTTTTAAAAAAAATTAATTTAGTGGCACTCGACTACTTTTAAAGACTTTAAATAACAATATCTACATTAAAATTACTGCGTGACCCCTTCACTTCTCCTCTTTGTAATATACTATGAATTCAGCATTATTTGTAAAAGAATTTGATTCATTCTTAAAATAATAGAAAATCAAATTGTAAAACGAAACAAATTCTTTTGGTACATATTGTTGTTTAAATTAATAATAGTTGAACAAAATTTATAAAATAATTACATTAATATTAACAGTCTTCAAAAAGGTTTAAAGTATTACATTCTTAATTAAGTTTCTTTAACGTGTATCCTGAAGGAACTGTTTCGTTTAGCAGCTCTGGTTGCAGGTGAGGTAGATACAACAGCAGTAGTGGTTCCACTATTATTTCCTGAGGCCAAACTGTCGATTTCAGTACGACTAACTCGGTTGGTGTAAACATGATTGGTTTCTGCAGTAATTTCCGATCCGGCATCTAAGTCTGAACCACTATCGCTTCCAGACCCATCTTCTGTAACATTATTATTATCATATCGTATAAAAGAAATACATCATTATAATAAAAATAGATGATTATGATTTGCACTTACGGATAGTTGGAGTCGGAACCGGAACAGGTACGGGCTTTACAACTTTGAATGGGACAGGAATAAAATATTTTTTGATGATAGGAACCGGATATGGAACTGGCCTGTCGATTGCGACGGGAACTGGTCGTTCAACTGGAACCACGATAGGATGAGGAACTGGAACTGGAACTGGGTGTGGCACGTGGACAGCAATTGCTTGAGAAGGAAATTGTACTGCGATGTCTGAACTCAAACCAAACTCAGGAGGTGGAATGTTAATACCGGGAACGAGGCTTTCGAAGATGCTTCTTTTTCCAGCAATGGCGGATACCGCTCCTGCCAGCGAAGTGACTAATAAGATATAAACGAGTCGTTCAGCCTGTAAAAAAATATCATCAATTAAAGTAATGATCGATTAACATAATTATTATAATAAATCTTATTTTAAAAGTGTTAACTAAATAGGATATTAACTATTAACGATTTCATTCTTGTCTACTGATTATAAACTTAATAAGCCTAATGTGGATGGGCGTACCTAGGAATGTGTAAGAGGGACCATTGTTCCTACTAAATAATTCGAAAGGAAATACAAAATAATATAATACCGGTTTGCCGAAAATTTAAGAAAATTAATTTTGAAAAGTTGTTATTCTATGTAAAGATATGAGATATTTCTGTTTCTAAATAAGGGCATCGTTTTGGTACAATTATAACAGAAAAATTATAAAATTTTAAATAAGGCAAGATATATGCAAAAATTAATTCAATCTTATTTTATTCTAATTGGGAAAAGTTATCAAAGTCAAATATAAGGACTTTTTTTCGAAATCAATCGTAATGCTTACGGTTCTATGCCTTGAAATTGTCTAAATTTATTTATTTATTTTCATGTCTCTAGGTAACATAGATGTTTAATAGTAATAGCTCGATACTTCTACCACGTATACTCTGACTCTTCGCTCGTCTTCATTATAGAAAGTTGAGATAATCAACCCCCATAAATTCCTTCCATCCGTACACGAAATCTTATAACAATTATCAGTGTTCAGGTTATAAACATTTAATAATAAGAAATATAAACAACAACAACACATTAAATAACAAGATAACTGCAGATAGCAGTCGCGTCGCTCACGAGTACCAAAATTGAAATAGTAGGGATGTCCTATAGTTGTTTGTATCGGTGGCGTACTCGATGTTGATTTAAATATAAACCATTAAATAAAAAATAAAAAAGTTCCTGTATATATAATATATGTATATAGGTACATAAAAATCAATTTATCGATGTAAATAATATTGGATTAAAATAATGATTTTAAACACAGTAACAGACTTCAGAAGCACCAACTCCAGACTATCACTCCTCACAATAAAAGCAACTAACAAAAAATACACGCTAATAAATACTCACGCACCCATAAATGAAGATAACAGGAGGGACCCGAAGAAGGTGGAGGACTTTTGGAGAGGTCTAGAAGACGAGATTAATAAAATACCTCAAAACAATGTAAAAATACTACTGGGAGATTTTAACGCACAATTAGGACGAGAAAAGAAATATAGGGAAATAGTGGGAGAGTATCCAGCACACAAGAGGACAAATAGGAACGGAGAAAGACTGATACAACTATGCCAAAACGCAGGGTTAAAAATCATGTCCACACATTACAAAGCAAAACCCAGCAAAAAGAAAACATGGGTATCACCTAATTCCCTCCTGGGAGAGTTCCAACTGGACCATGTGGCGATCTCCAGAAGATACCAAAAGGAAATACAGAATGTCAGAGTAAAAAGAGCAATCAATGACAATCAATCAATCTGACCACTTCCCCTTACAAATAAAGATAAAATTGGTACCAGCAAAAAAGATTCAACACACAAAAAACGCTAAGAAAAAGCAAATAGATAGACAAATCCTGGTAAGAGACAAAAAACAGGAATACAGAGAAAGGTTAAAAACCCCACAAAACTGGGAAGAAGCGGCTAAGAACATGACGGACCTAGCAGAAGAAATAGCACCGCTAGAAATATATAAAAGAAAGGAATGGAGGGACATAGAGTGCGAAGATGCAGTAAGGATAAGACTGGCAGTGTGGAAAAGCTGGAACCAAAACAAAACAGTCGAGAACTATCAAAAGTATATAATGGAAAGAAAAATTACGCACCAAATACTAAGAAGGAAAAAGAGAGGCAGCTGGAAGAAATGGAAGAATATTTCAGACGAAACGATAGTAGACTATTCTACAAGGCTTTTAATCAAAGAGTCAAAGGCTACATCCCCTCAGGAATAGTGCTAAAAAGAAAAGACGGAACACTGGCACAAACAAACGAGGAAAATTGCAACATACTGGCGGATTATTTCGAACAACTGCTGAACTGCGAGGAGCCCAAACAGAGAATGACTCCACATGACAACACCCTCCTGGAGATGGAATCGGACCCACCCGACGAAGAAGAAATAGAAGAAATAATCGCGGGACTTAAAAACAATAAAGCATCTGGAGAGGATGGAGTATTGGCGGAAATGTGGAAAGTAACAGGTGATGAATTCAGGAAGAAGATCACAGAATTGATGATGGACATCTGGATAGAGGAGAAAATCCCCAGAGAATGGAAAACCGCCTTGATACATCCACTGCATAAGAAAGAAACAAAAACAGAAGCTGACAACTACAGAGGAATTTCCCTACTAACCGTCAGCTACAAAATTTTCTCCAAAGCACTACTCAACAGACTAAACCCACAAATAGACCCTAAAATCGGAGAATATCAGGGAGGCTTCAGAAAGGGAAGATCATGTCAAGAAAAAATCCTGAGCCTAAAATTATTGATAAAATACTACAAAACAAGGCCCAAAAAGAACCTCTACATCTCGTTTGTTGATTTTAAAAAAGCGTACGACTCAGTGGATAGAAAGACACTGCTGGAAATACTCAGAGAATACGGAGTGGACCAGAAGACCAGGAAACTAATAAAATTAACACTAACTGACACCGAATCCAAGGTAAGATTCAGAGGAACCACCAGCAAATCTTTCCGGATAAGAATGGGACTCAGACAAGGAGACGGTCTCTCCCCAACACTGTTCAACGTGGTACTAGATAGGATAATGAAGGAATTGTGGAAAACCAATGATGTGGGTGCAAGAATAGGGACCAAAAACAACCACGTCAAGGTAAGGTGTCTTGCCTACGCAGACGATCTTGCACTTTTAGCGGAAACGGAAGAAGAGGCAATCGACCAAATAAATACACTGGCGGAAATAGCCAAAAAAGCGGGTCTCCAAATCTCCTACGAAAAAACAAAATTAATTACCACAGACGCAGACTTCAAGAAAAAAACAGTGGAAACCAAATACGGGTCAATAAATGTAACAAATAAATTTAAATACCTGGGTGAGACTATATGTAATAATGGTTCCGAAAAAGAAAGTATCAAGGAAAGAATAGCCAAATTGGAAAAACTAAGTTTTGCAACCAGTAACATATACAACAAGAGAAACCTGTCCAAGGAAGCGAAAATACGACACTACAATACAGTTGTTAAAACTGTGATACTATACGGGACGGAAACCACATTCCTCCCCAGTCTGGAAAAATTGTTGAGAATAGAGCGAAGAATTTTAAGAAGGATTTACGGCCCCAAAAAGACAAAAGAAGGATACAGGCTAAGATCGAATCAGGAAATATACAAGGACAAAAGAGATCTAGAAACGGAAATTAGGATCAGGAGACTGAAATTCCACGGACATATGGTAAGAAAGGCCTCAGAAAGACTTAACAAGGAAATATTCCAAAAAATCCGTAGATACAAAAGCTTGGGAGGATACATCAGGCAGATGAAGGAAGAAACGGAAAGACTTGGAATAACGGACCGGGACTGTCTGGACAGACAGGGGTATGGTAAGAGACTAAAGGAGATCACAAGAACCGTGAAGAAGAAAAGTTCGAGAAAGGGAGTCGCGTGGACGGAAGAGAGAAAGCGGCGGCACTCGGAGATAATGAGAGAGAAGTGGAAAGAAAGGAAAAACAAGAAAGAAGCCAAATGTCATGATATTCGCGTGGTCTCTATGGCCGTTCCGTGAAAAAAAAAATGGTATATTGTTTTAAAAATATATCTCCCTAAAATAAAAATATATTTTCGCAAGCAACCCTAGTACTCAACCTTTTTTTCTTCCAGGAATATCATTATGTACATTATCTGAATCACTAAACATAAAAAGTTTTGAAATAAGTATGAAAATATCAGAAAGTGGCTTATACATCAGGATTAGTTAGAGCCTATGAAATAAGGATATAGTTTAAGGTTTATATCAAAATGAAAGCCTTTTTCATAATGGAACATTATTATTTATTCTATTCCTGAACTAAAGTTCCGATAGTACCCCTATTTTAGTCATTGTACGTACCAAAAGACATGTGGATGTGAAGAAACTGTGGTTAAATCGACTAAGGATCTGCCCACCTCTTAAATCCGGTCTTATATTTATTTTAAAAATTGTATTAAATTTATTTTTAATTGCATAATAAATTTCATTAATGCCTAATTTACCCTATTAATTCACATTTTTAAAAAATAAACAAAATATGCTAATTATAAGATTATATTATAATATAATTACCAAAATATTCATTCTTATAAAGCTAGATCTTATCGAAAATTTACTTAAGACTGTCCTGAAAAAAGTCCAAGTCACTGTATATATACTTAGGACGGGTGGGACATTTCCTGACTAGACCAGCTTCATTAAATGCCCGTTTTACAATTACGTAAACTAAGTAACAAACTTTATATTAACTATGTAAAGTAGTAATGTAAAAAGCTGATGGTTGAGTCGATCTATTACTTTAATAACCGTTGGCCAGTTTGTGCTGAGAATTGGCTAGTTTAGCTATCACTTCCCCTCTTTTAGTCTTACTAACAAGGTATTGTGTTCCACCAATTTTTTTGTGGTGACTCAACATTGAAAAATATTTCCAAGGCGACGCATTTCCCGGCGTTTGTTCCATTGAATCTTAGGAGCCGAGAAAAAAATGTTTTATATAATTTTATTTTTTATTAGTTACACATATTTCTGACATACAATAAAGTTGCTATTCACTACTGTTTTCAGAAAATGTGGTATTGAGGAGAACGCAACAAAACCAAAAAAAATAACAAAAAAAAAGTACAAGCAAGAATTAGTTAAAAAAAAAAATGAAAATAACATGACATAATAACGCAAAAACATAAGATAACACAGCAAGTAACTAAATGCAGTAAGTCTCTTAGCCAACGCCTCATTAGTCTACTGGCCGGATCATATGGATTTCTAGCAGTAGGTAGAGCTTTAGTTAGTGGATTTGAATTCAGAGTCAGTCTGTCATGATAATT